CGATTTTCTCGGTTGGGTTAGGTTGAGTTAGGTTAGGTTAGGTTAGGTTAGGTTGAGTTAGGTTAGGTTAGGTTAGGTTAGGTTAGGTTAGGTTAGGTTAGGTTAGGTTAGGTTAGGTTAGGTTAGGTTAGGTTAAGTTAGGTTAGGTTAGGCTAGGTTAGGTTAGGTTAGGTAGTTAGGTTAGTAGGTTAGGTTAGGTAGTTAGGTAGTTAGGTTAGGTTAGGTAGGTTAGGTTAAGTTAGGTTAGGTTAGGTAGTTAGGTTAGTTAGTTAGGTTAGGTTAGGCTAGGTAGTGTTAGGTAGGTTAGGTTAGGTTAGTTAGGTTAGAGTTAGGCTTAGGGTTAGGTTAGGTTAGGTTAGGTTGGTAGGTTTAGGTTAGGTTAAGGGTTAGGTTAGGTTAGGTTAGGCTAGGTTTAGGTTAGGTTAGGTATTAGGTTAGGTTAGGTTAGGTTAGGTTAGGTTAGGTTAAGTTAGGTTAGGTTAGGCTAGGTTAGGTTAGGTTAGGTTAGGTTAGGTTAGGTTAGGTTAGGTTAGGTTAGGTTAGGGTTAGGTTAGTAGGTTTAGGTTAGGTAGTTAGGTTAGGTTAGGCTAGGTTAGGTTAGGTTAGGTTAGGTAGGTTAGGTTAGGTTAGGTTAGGTTAGGCTAGGTGTAGGTTAGGTTAGGTTAGTTAGGTTAGGTTAGGTGGTAGGTTAGGTTAGGTTAGGTAGGTTAGGTTAGGTTAGGTAGGTTAGGTAGTAGGTTAGGTTAGGTAGGTTAGGTTAGGTTAGGTTAGGTTAGGTTAGGTTAGGTTATAGGTTAGGTTAGGTAGGTTAGGTTAGGTTAGGTTAGGTTAGGTAGGTTGTTAGGTAGGTTAGGTTAGGTTAGGTTAGGTTAGGTTAGGTTAGGTTAGGCGTAGTTAGGTAGGTTAGGTTAGGTTAGGTTAGGTTAGGTTAGGTTAGGTTAGGTTAGTTGTAGGTTAGGTTAGGTTAGGTTAGGTTAGGTTAGGCTAGGTTAGGTTAGGTTAGGTTAGGTTAGGTTAGGTTAGGTTAGGCTTAGGTTAGGTTAGGTAGTTAGGTTAGGTTAGTTAGGTTAGGTTAGGTTAGGTAGTAGGTTAGGTTAGGGTTAGGTTAGGTTTGGTTAGGTTAGTTAGGTTAGGTTAGGTTAGGTTAGGTTAGGTTAGGCTAGGTTAGGTTAGGTTTTAGGTTTAGTGGGTTAGGTTAGTTAGGTTAGGTTAGGTTAGGTTAGGTTAGGTTAGGTTAGGTTAGGTTAGGTTAGTAGTTAGTTAGGTTAGTTAGGTAGTTAGGTTAGGTTAGGTTAGGTTAGGTTAGGTTAGGTTAGGTTAGGTTAGGTTAGGTTTAGGTTAGGTTAGGTTAGGTTAGGTTAGGTTAGGTTAGGTTAGGTTAGGTTAGGTTAGGTTAGGTTAGGTTAGGTTAAGGTTTAGGTTAGGTTAGTTAGCGTTAGGTTAGGTTAGGTTAGGTTAGGTTAGTTAGGTTAGGTTAGGTTAGGGTTAGGTTAGGCTAGGTTAGGTTACGTTAGTTACGTTAGGTTATTAGGTTAGTTTCGGTTAGGTTAAAGTTAGGTTAGGTAGGTTAGGTTAGGTAGAAATAGTACGTTAGGTTAGTCTAGGTTAGGTTACGAAGTTAGGAATTAGGACAGTTAGGTTATTAGAGATACGTTACGGTTAGGTTTTAGGTTTAATGAGGTTAGTTAGGTATGTTAGTCTAATAGTCTTTAGACATTAGTGTAGTAGAGTATAGGTAGGTTAAAAAGGTTAGAACGAAAGTTGGTAATTTACGTACGTTCACGTTACTTAGGTTTTCGTAGTTCTTCTATCCATAAAAAGAAGTAACCGTTCTACTATTCACGATAATAAAGTTAGATAAATGTCTTATGTTAACGATAAGTGTATAAAGCATTCTGCTAGCAGACACTACAGCACTACGAGTGTAGGAAAAAACATTGGTATATACAGTTAGTAGACATTATTAGAGGAACTTTGCCTTTCCATAGTGGCTTCTTCAGTTCTAATGACTGAAGATACCACTCTTGGCGAATCATTTCCTCTAATGCCCTAAACTGTACATAAATGTCTTTTTCCACATCTTGTCGGTATCACCAGACCATTTTTAAATCAGAACACTGACAGCCACTGAGAGTGGTAGAGATAACTGTCAGATTAGCACTGTTTAAGGGACTTTCTTCAGTCTCCTAACTGATTGCCTTTACAACAGTGAAATAATTTCTGTAAGAGGATGACTAAGACCTCGTCAGGAAACACCTGTACTGTTTCCTGACGAACCTTATCTAACCTAACCTGTAAGAGGACAAGTTACGTCGAGGGGCTCAACATGTGACTAAGACCAAAGTTAGGAAAAACGGCAAAAACTTTCTGCTAATAGACAAGACAGCCTCCAGCATCAGCGTTGTGCTGACGAGTTTCCGCTCGGATGTTTACTTTGGTTATAATGAGCCTGGCAGCGTCAACACGTCGCTTCTCCTGGATATGTCCTCACATATTCATATTGCTTCTTCAGATGTGGTGCTGACATGGCGATACGTTTTTGTTCATCTACTTGTGGCATTTACTGATTACAATGACCACGTAGGACACCCAACATGAATACTATCATACCCGGTTTTAAGATAACCAACATCGGTTATAAACCTCACTAAATTATTAATGTCATGGTAGTATTAGGTAAAGTTCTGAGTGGCGATTTCAGTCATTTGACAAAGGAATTCCACCGGCTTATCAGTCCACCGAGATAAATTATAAATCGTGTAAGATGTGAGAGTAGGCTTGTTGATATTGCTCTAACAGATGCAGAGTTAGAGGTGACGGTGGTATTTGATTAGTCAGAGCTAAAGGGGAAAACTCTTGATGGGGCTTTGTCATATGGTGACCCCACTGGATCTGGCGGGCCTTTGACATAATGACCCCACTTACTGGACCTGATGGGCCTTTGACATAATGACCCCACTTACTGGACCCGACGGGCCTTTGACATAATAACCACGCTCACTGGACCTAACGAGCCTTTGACATATGATAACCCCACTCAGTGGATCTCACAGGTGTTTACCATTCAGTGGACCTAACAGGCCTTTGCCATTCATTGGACCTAACGAGTCTTTGCCACTCACTGAAGCTATCGGTCATTTGACTGAGGTTTTCTCCTGGTCTACCGATCCACACTGTAAAAAGTACATTGCATTATACAGTGTGACGGCGGGTTTACCAGCCCACAAAAACACATAAGTTTGCCATACAGTTGAGGGCCTAAGAAACTGTATATAACGGATGAAAGATACTGGCGCCACAGACAGTGTTTTCTAAGACGGAGTGAGAGCGAACGAGGGAGGGAAGAATGGAGGAATGCTAGTGTAAAAAATGACTTCTACAGAGAACATTAATACCAGGGCTTCTGTACACAGTAACGTAGTCATAGTAGGGGACTTTAACTTTAGCCAAATTGACTGGAATTCTAACTCTGTTAGAAAACCAGTACTTACCTATGTCCTTTCTAAATCTAAATTTATCCAACTTAAATCCATTATTCCACCATCCACAGGATGGAACTGAGGTGCACAATAAACCAGCCACTACCATCCACAGGATGAAATTGAGGTGCACAATAAACCAGCCACTACCATCCACAGGATGGATACGGAGTGCACAATAAACCAGCCGTGTCGGCAGCAAAATAAAAAGAAAATAAACGAGCATAAATGCTTTCAAGTATTTTTCAACAAATGTTTTCCTCAAAGAGTTGAGTGAGGGGACATTTAATCCACCAACTGTCTTCAAGGAGGATTGATGAGTTAGACACATGTTCATCACTTGGGAATCTTTATCTTGAAGATGTTTATCATCAGTTGGCGAGTTTTTTTAAGTCAATGATAGGTTAGGTATAAATTGTCAGGAAACATGACAACCCCGATTGTACACGGAAGGTGGTGAAGAGAAACGCCGTTGAGCACCGACCACAACCATTACTATCCACAACACCCACCATCCACAACCATTACCATCCACAACCCCTACCATCCACAACCATTACCATCCACAACCCCTACCATCCACAACCCTCAACCATTCACAACCCCCACCATCCACAACCCTCACCATACACAACCCCCACCATGCACAGCCACCCCATCCACAACCACTACTATCCACAATCACCACCATCCACAAGCACCACCATCCACAACCATTACCATCCACAACCCCCCACCATCCACAACCTCTACCATCCACAACCATTACCATCCACAAACCCCATCATCCACAACCATTGAAAATAAATGTGTTTATGTTTCCATCCATAACCACCATCATCCACAACCACCACCATCCACAACCCCCACATCCACGACTCCCACCATCCACAACCACCACCATTCACATCCCCCGCCATCCACAACCCCCACCATCCACAACCCCCACCATCCACAACCACCACCATCCACATCCACCACCATCCACAACCCCCACCATCCACAACTCCCACCATCCACAACCACCACCATCCACAACCCCCGCCATCCACAACCCCCACCATCCACAACCCCCACCATCCACAACCCCCACCATCCACAACCACCACCATCCACAACCCCCACCATCCACAACTCCCACAATCCACAACCACCACCATCCACAACCACCACTATCCACAACCACCACCATCCACAGGTTGTAATGGTTGTATTGTGACTCAGCTCCCGGAACTCACGCTAAGGATCACGTCTACGCATGTCTACATCACGTCACTCCTGCCTCCGGATCCCTGCCTCTGAAAAACAAAACGAACGTCCGAATCCTCCCTGCTGTCGTAATTACCCACTCTCCCCATCACTTTCTTACTACATCACAAACCAAACACAACTAAATCTAATATAATAGCGATCTGGCCAGAAATTAGTTCATATATAAGTGTTAATCGACCGGAAGGTATGGGCATGCGCGTCGAACACCTGTTTGAGTTTCGTGTTGTGAGTCACATTATATGAGAGGACGCCCAGGCGAGACCCCTCAGTCGACTGCACATATACCTCGCGGGTGGTCATGTGCTAGATCAGTGCTACAACTCTGTGATTATCTCTTTATACCGCTGGGAATAGGAGCTCTCTCGCCCGCTCCAAGGTAAGCACTCGCTTAAAGATAGCAGATTCAAGGCATAGCAATCGTCAGGTACTAATGAAAGTACCACTCGCCTCATCAGGTACCAAGAATTTTTCACCTATTCAATTAGTCACCTTGCAGTAAATGTAGCTATCTGTGTTAGTCGACTGTTGTGGGAAGAATCCAAGGTAAATTTACTATGTAAAGTGTTAGAAACTGTTCTTGCAGAAAGTCATATGCAAGACGAAACTGTCAGTGTGAAAGAGACTCCAGTTCTGCTGGATTTATTGAAGTGTTAACTGAAAGGTATCCACAAATTGCAGTGATGGGAATAATATAATTTAAAAAGCATGTATCAGTAGATTTTATTTTTTTTTTTTTGTAGACTGGTAATAGATCTTAGAATTAGAAACTGGACAGGTTATGTGAACCTGTTGCGTACATACATGTATAATCTTCTTTCAAGAGTAAGTATAACTTCTGAAGTTGACATTATTTTGTGTTATATGGGCAATATTTTCCTTTGTGCTTGCTCCCACCATAAACAAAATTCTGCTGGCCAATAAACAACCTTACATAATGGTCACGCAGGCGCACCAGCCATCATGTCCCAGTTAAGTCAAAGAAAAACAAAACTAATAGAATTAGGTCAACTAGTGGTGTGTCTGGTATTGACATATCCTTGAAGATAGAGTATAGAATTAAACGAACTGCAGACTTGATAACTTTCGTGTAGTCGGTAAGTATTAATTCTAAGAAAGTAACTCATTAAGTGTTAAAACCTATCTTCCATCAGTACTTCTTCCAGCACCAACACCACTGACGATACGTAACTACAAAGGATGATTCTCTCACGCAGGTTATCGCAGTAGGAGTGATCGTTCCCAGCACATCCTCTGGAGCTTGAAAGATCTGCTTGCCGAGATCTCCACCTGCCACATTTTCTACACTTGTCAGATATCGCCACCATTATGTCTCTTGTGTCAGTTCTGGGCAGCATGGGCACCGGGGGAAGAATCCCTGGCAAGGCCAATGGTGAGTTTTTCAGTTTTTTTTTTTTTTAACCATTTGTTTAGCAGAAAAACCTTATCCACTGTATGTTTTATTCTAGTTTCTATGCATGGTTAAAATACTTAGACTAAGACATCACCTACACTTCAAGGTACAGAGGGGATGGGAGGATTTCCTTGATGTCAGTCAAGGACTTTAAAGACTAGGAACAACCCTCCCCATTCCTGTGATTGAAGACGACTGCCTCCCATTCCCCAGGCGCTGAATGACCCTCTTGTAGCGCGTCCTCGCTATAAGATTCATCGGTCAGCCGATGCATCTTGAGTAACACGTATGACAAGTTATAGAGAAGTTCCTGGTATAAATATTTTTAAAACAGTTTGTAGTCTTGGTTATAAAGCATCAGTCGTTTTGCCAAACCACCAGAGTGTAAATTTACTTCTATAGTAATTCCGTGAAAATCTTTGTGTACATAGCAAAGTTTAATATGTCGTGCCAAACAGGTAAAACTTGCGATTTTGGCTTAAATAGCAACGTTCTTCTTGCCGAATAAGGCAAGCGAAAATTTATGTATGCACTAATTTCGCAAAAATAATTCTGAGCCTAAGGTGATCTCAGTTACGAGATCCCATATTTGTTCACTAAAGCACTCACTACAAGTCATTGCTCTACTCAGCCACATAATTAACGACCGGAATTTCCTCTCCCAACTAAGAATTTCGTTTACATTATGAAGCTGTGCGTCCTATTTGGCGACTCTGAGTGCAGGCAATTCTTTGGGAGCGCCGAAGATTCACATTCTCATTCAAGTCCTTCCTAACCTGCATATGGAGAATCTGGAGGAGAAGACAATGAAACGCGCATCCCTAATCGAATAGTCTGGCTTCGATATGTGGATGAGATTCTATCATTGTATCCAAGCGACTCAACACATACTCATTAAAATCAACTTAATCATATTCGCTGTGGAGAATGAGCAAATTTGAAGCTAACCTATTCTAGACATAACCATTTCAGAACAACAGCGTATTGGATTTCAGTGTGTAAAGGAAACTGGCAAGCAAAGACGACCTGTTACACTTCTTATCAGGCCATGATAGGAGAACAAAGAGAGAAAACATCATGGGATTCTATTCGAAAGCATATATGATCTCTATCTCTGATTTCCTCAAAGATGAATATGACTACATACATCTGGCCTTTACCAACACTCAGCACACTTCATTAACAATTGTAGGGAAAAAAATGCAAAAAGAAGTCAGACAACCAAAGACAGTCACCAGGTTGATTCTTAATGCTACCCTTCAGACATATTTTGGACATCTTCAGCCTTCTTGCCAAGAGTAAACCAGTATAGGTAACATCATATCCAGCTGAGTCAAGAACTTGATAAGAAGAAGAAATACAATACAAATTACTGCTGGCATCTGTACTCACCTAATTGTAGTTGCAGGGGTCGAGACTCAGCCCCTGGCCCCGCCTCTTCACTGAATGCTACTAGCTCCTCTCTCTCCCTGCTCTATGAGCTTTATCATACCTCGTCTTAAAGCTATGTATGGTTCGTGCCTCCACTACATCGCTCGCCAGACTGTTCCACTTCCTGACCACTCTATGACTGAAGAACTGTATTGTCTAATGTGTGAGGGTGCAAAAACTATACATGGTCGAGACTTTTAGTAACCTGGAACAATGTATCAATGGACATATGTACACATGTCCAGGAAATGAATTAAGCAATGCCTGCACCGTGCAACAAAACTCCCACAACCAAAGACGCCAACCTGTTCATCAGGGAAAAATTGACCAGCACGACTGGCGCTGTTTAGAAGCTGCTCCTTTTGCAATACCGTCACACAGAATTCCGGTAGTTTTACGACTTCGGAAGTTCTTGCCTGACTCATCCTTCCTGATATGGATACAGTGATCACATAGCCCCAAACCCAAATGCAGGACTTAAAAAGAACAAAAAGGCACAATACCGTGACTTGAACAATACATAAATAACCAGCACATTGGAGAGAGGAGCTTACCACGACGTTTCGGTCCGTCTTGGACCAGTGTGACTTTGTGACTTGCTGTGACTAACTATATATACATGAAATTGACTCCTGAAACTCACTAAACTTCGTTATTCTGCATTAGATTGATACAGTTTCTGGTGGGTAAAACGATCCCTCAATGAATGCCCTAATACCGAATGTGGGTGTTAGTAGTTAATGAAATAATCTGTATCAATATACCGTCTTATGGTCTCTAACCTCAACACTTCCATCACAATGGCGCATATATATTGAGACGATTTTTACACTCTCTGTCAGTTGTCAAAGGCCCATTTGAACGATGGCAGGTATTGTCAACAAGTATAATGGGTAGACACTTGGTGTAGAGCAAATCTTTATTTTACACTATGACTCGCTTTTACCATAGACCATTTTTACCATAGACCTCATTCTTTCTCCTAACCATGTTTTACATAACATCCAGGGCTACGCAGGTTTGAGGTAGGGATTAACCCGCCTCCTCTTCAGGTTTGTCAATGCAGACTGCCATTTCTCATTTCTTGCCTTATTCGGCAAGAAGAGCGTTGCTGTTAAGCCAAAATGACAAGTTTTACCTATTCGGCACGACATATATATATATATATATATATATTATATATATATATATATTATATATATATATATATATATATATATATATATATATATATATATATATATATATATTATAAAAAACTAGTCTCTTAAATGACGGAGGAGACCAGGAAGGGGGAGGTGCCTTCATATTGGTGAAGGGCTATTCTGTTTTATTAACACATTGGCCGTTTCCCACCTAGGCAGGGTGCCCCGGAAAAGAAGAAACACTTTCATCATCATTCACTCCACCACTCTTGTCAGAGGGGTGCCGACACTACATACTAAAAACTTCAACATATCTTCACCCCTCCTTCAGAGTGCAGTCACTATACTTTCCGCCTCCAGGACTCAAGTCCGGCTAACCAGTTTACCTGAATCCCTTCATATATGTTACTTTGTTCACACTCCAACAGCACATCAAATCATAAAAACCATTTTTCTACACTCTTATCTAACACGCATCCTAGAACTCTAAGCCACTAACCTAGAAATTGGAGCTATCCTCCCCTTCCTGATGACTTAAAAACCCCAGATACTGTATTACCCGTGTGGGTTTACCACTTTCCCTTAATTTCAGTAACAAACTAATTTAAATGTCGGGGAAGAAGCAGACAAAAAAAAATGAACATTCAAATGGTATAAAATACCGACAGGTTGTTAGGTAAGACACATATGCAACAGTTAGGTATCTTTATTTCGAAACGTTTCGCCTACATAGTAGGCTTCTTCAGTCGAGTACAGAAAAGGGTGATGGACTGATTACATCGTCTTCAAGTATCTTCTGCTTCTATCAACTTTTCTGTACTCGACTGAAGAAGCCTACTGTGTAGGCGAAACGTTTCGAAAAAAAGATACCTAACTGTTGCATATGTGTCTTACCTAACAAAAAAAATGGCTATCATTATTATATTTATTTATGAGAAAGCGTTCAACCCATAAGGGTCATATAGTGCCTGGGGAATGGGAAGTAATCAGGTCTGACCTGAGCAAGTGCAAGTAACTCCAATTCCATGTATCAAAAGGCCTTCACCGGCGTCTAGGCACCTCCCTTTAAAGGAGAGAAAGAGAACGAAATGCAATTTTTGCGGTGGGAAGGTATTGATTTAAGATAGGAAAAGTTCGGACGAACTGATCGGAGGAGAATTTCGGTAGAGATGCAGAGGAGATGACTGTGGTACAGTGCTCAGTTCGCAGACGAAGGGACCCTGGTTCGATTTCGAAATCTCCTGGCAAGTGAAACAAAACCTAAGCAAAAATATTCAGCACACTGCATGCGTGTCCACTTACCTTATTGATTATAGGTATTTTTATACCTCTGCTCTCAAGACTGTTGGTGCTGGCAGCTCCTAGTCAAAGTCTGGACAAATACCTCCTGTGAGACCTTGCCATGTTCCCTTGTAAACACAGATTAGGATCAATTGGTAATTTTCCTTTGTTGTTAGAGAAGGACTTTCAAAAGCTTCGGTTTTTATTCCTTTATTTTTGAATCTCCAACTATTTTCCAGGTTTTTAAATCTGACATCATTTTTTGCAATGTACTTCATTGGGTACATGTTAATGGCTTTTATATGTTTCCTAATAATTTAAGTATTTGAGTAGATGCGATTGTACATATTTATTTGCATATTTTCTGTCTTAAATATATAATAATTTCCGAGTCAACAAAAGTCACGTGTCGTAAAATAATACAATTATTACTTGGGTATCTCATGTATAAAATATTTATTTCCTGCATCTTTCACCAAGGGGTCTCCTAGACATTATTTCCTCTCTATGGGATGGTTCAAAGCCATTTTGTGTTCTGTCTCAACTATATTTTTTTTTCACTTCTCTCTCATTATTTAACTGGAATTCATATTCACTGAACGCAATTTTGTTCTCTTTGTTTATGTCAGGTATGAGGATGAGACAGTATTGGGGCGAGCATCATGCCCTGGGGAACAGCGCTTCTCATGGTGAAGTTCTCTCACTTTCTTGGTTTAATATTTGTCCTTTTCCTTGGTTTGATAAACATTTAAAAAAACCATCCTCCCCCTTATTCCAGTTTTTCCTCTTGTGCGCGTTTTGTGTAGTGTTACACCCTGGCCAGGTCACACTTGCCGAAGGCTCTAACCAAGTCTGTATAGAACGTCGACCGCCTGGAAGACTTCCATTGTACTAAGTCTTTTGCGATGCATCAGTTGTAGGAGGTACCAGCCTCCTGGATCCTTTAATGTTGTCCTCTGTATTTTTTACTAGTCTGAGTACTTGGCTAGCGTCTCGTGCAGCGCTGTTTCACCCACACGGATTTCACGCTTTTATTATTATATAATAATAATAATAATAATAATAATAATAATAATAATAATAATAATAATAATAATAATAATAATAATAATAATAATAATAATAATAATAATTATAAATAAGAATAACCAATAATAACACTAATAGTAATGCTAATTAATAAAATAACAGTAATTATATTAATAATAATAATTAATAAAATAACAGTAATTATATTAATAATAATAATTAATAAAAATTACAGCAATAGTAATAACAATATTAGTAATAATAATAATAATAATAATTAATAAAAATTACACAATATAATAACAATATTATAATAATAATAATAATAATAATAATAATAATAATAATAATAATAATAATAATAATAATAATTAATAAAATAATAATAATAATAATAATAATAATAATAATAATATTAATAATAATAATAATAATAATAATAATAATAATAATAATAATAATAATAATATAATAATAATAGTAATAATTAATAATAAAAATAGCGGTAATAATAATAATAATAATAATAACAATAATAAAGTAGAAGAATACTAAGGGTTTCATCATTCGTTACAATGATGATGATGATGATGATGATGCCGGTAAAAATATTTTTATCATTATTTCTTCTCTTGTGAAATAGAACTGTGTGACTGGGCTTTGAAATGTCTGGGATGTCACCATTTGCTCAACTCTGTTTCAGTACGATATATAGAACCTGTGAAAAAATTAAAATTATCCTATTTTTTGGGTTGACAAGTGAGTTCGCGGAGTGTGAGTGAACATGGTTTTGATGTCTTCCTGGAAGTCCAGCGAATCTGAAGATGGCGCTCGAAAATACTGACCAAGTTTGGTTTTGTGTTTCGTTTATGAAAGGTGTGAAGTTTCGTTCATTAAGGTGGTCCCTTTTGTTTTAATCTATCAATGAAAACGCGCTAAAAAATTGAAAATTTTCGAAGTTGAAATATTCTCGAAATTTAAGGCAGAGAAATTGGTTGTCTATGTCGTGTGTGGACTGTGCTTAGAAGATAATAATTTCCCAAGTACAGTTCACGGATTTTTTCCCCACCACGTAATGGGGATCCCATATCCCACATCCTCCCTAATATTGTTTATCCCGGACGATATCCGCTTGATAGACGATAACTACCGTCCTTAGTGTTGCTACATACCTTCCTGATGATGTTCTTGACCTGAGCTGTTTTCCTCATGTATAAATCCCTCGTAATGGACTAATATTCTACCTCGATGATGTTTACATGGTCCATACTTTCCCTCTCGGACGATAATTTAATTCCTGAATGGTGTCTATCATACTGGGCGATAGTTTCCATGATGGATGATATCTCCTCACCAACAATAACCTTCCTAATTGACGCCTTGTAAACGATATTTCTCTCCCTGCTATAATCTCCCTCCTGGACCACATCCCTCCCGTAGATAATATCTTTTCAAATTGATACTGTCCATCCTAAACGATACTTTTCTTTAACCGACAGAAAATAATTTTAACGATATTCCTCTCTTCTGCTACCCCTCATAATGGATAATCTTCCCCTTACTGGATGCTTATTCTCCCTGGTTGTAATCTTGTACCACATTTGTATCTTCATAGGAGGGAATGATGTGTTAAAACTGGCATTAAATCTAAGCTGGATGTTGAATTTTATTTTTTTGTCTGAGCCATGGAATCGACGAGGAGGGTGCGTTGATACCAGTGAAGGGCTCTTGGTTGAAGGAATTGGAGCGGAAAACCAATTACCTAGGTGTAATCTGGTTGTCTTCAAAGTATCAGGCGTTGTAATGACCCCCTTCGGGTTTAGTGCTCTAAGCACTTCATCTTCGAAATACTCACACTTTCAACACACATGCTCCACTACATCTGCTCCACTACACCACTACACCTGCTCCACTATACTCACTCTTCCACTACACCACTACACCTGCCCCACTACACTCACTCTTCCACTACACCTGTTCCACTAAACTCTATCGTCGAAAATTACGTGTTGTTCTGGTAACGGGAATGAATGATACTCTTCGGAGGCTAGGTTATTTATTTGAGTTCTTGGTACACAGGCAATGTGTTTAAGTGCCCTGGGACGACCCAGAGGGCCATGCCCGCAAGAGGAGTGGAGCTGTTGACTCTAGGATGCCTGGGTACCAAATGAGAGCGAGGCTGATCTGGGTATGCCTACCTAGAGGCCTGCCCTCTTTGGAAACTAGCCATGTAGACTTACTGTCTACATTTTGCTCGGCCACCTACCCATGGTTGTGGTCGTCCTCGACCATGCGTAACTGAAAAAAAACTCGGTCTCTCGCAGGAACAGGGCACAGAACACAAAATAAAAATACATATATACATGTGGACATAAAAAAAAAAACTTCCTATAGGAAAGGAAGAAAAAAAAGTTGGGGTGTGCTAAACATCATGGTCCAAGGCAAGTGAGCTTCGACAGGCGTTGCTGCACACCTTCCTGCGTCTGGACAGATACTGCAACTCAGGAGACATCACTGCGGCTGAGCTGTGACGTAACAGGGTACAAGCATCTCCGGAACGTGAAGCAGTCATTATAGTAGTTGTTGCAGGGTTTACTCATCCTGGGCACCTGCTGGTGCCCACGAGTGAGTTGTCATCAGTACTCAGCAACTGGGGAGGACTTCTTCTGGCAAGTGACTCAGGAGGACATTTTTTGACTGGTACTGTCGCTGGGCGGTCACTGCCGGGAACGCACTGCACAGCTTAGTGGTGCCGGCGAGAATGAGTCTTGGCTAGAACAACTCAGGCGAGGGAGTCGTAGCAGCATACACCGTAATTGGAGTCAGCAGGCAAGCAGTCAAAGTGGCATCATATTTTGTGCAGGATGCTCACTAAACATGTGACATGAGTCAGACAGTCACCTGCCGACAGGGCTACTGCGGCTTGACGATGTCATTCTCTCGACAGAGTTTGAGCCATAGCAGAGGTTAGTCTACAAATGACGAGCGTAAGAGCTTCTGTACACCGGGGCTCAGACGCTCGTAAACTGATGCATGGACTGTCTAATGTCAGCTGTCAACTGTCACAATGGGATGACATGTAACATGAGGGCGTTACCAATGGTCTGGGCTCAGACCACCCTGTAGTCTACACACACATCTGAGCTCAGACTACACATTGGGACACAGAAAAGTTGCAGACACCCGCACTGCACATGCTGCTACAACATGGCTTGCACTAGCAAATGACGCTTTTTTTTGTTGTTGTTTTTTGTTTTTTGCAAAAATCGACATTAAGGCAATCATGAACTTATGAGAACATTGACTGAGAGGAATTAACATGTAACAGTCACATATCGTCTGTCAGTCGTTCTCGACAATACTGAAACAAATTGCTCACTGTGAAACTATAACACTGTAGATGTGACATCATGTGGTGATGTCGTGAGGGATGTCGTGGGGTGACATCGCGAGGTGATGTCAGGGCAGACGTGGTGACGTCGGGCAGACGTCCTGGAGTGACGTCGGGCAGCATCGTGGGTGACGTCGTGAGGTGACGTCAGGCAGACGTCCAGGGTGACGTCAGGCAGACGTCCTGGGTGACGTCTCGAGGTGACGTCGGGCAGACGTGGATAACGTCAGGCAACATGGTGACGTCAGGGTGATGATCAGCAATGTCCTGGAGCGATGCTGGCAGCAGACAACAGCAAGTGGCTTTGGACATCTGGCTTGGTAACCCACATGGCCGTATCCACACGTGGCTTCGAGTGACCTCGGACACTCAGATACACAACTCTGGCAAAGAATTCACGCTCAATTCCAAGAAAACCAGCAGAGGTGCGAGAGTGTAGTGGTGTATGGTGGTGCGAGATGAGCGTGGGTGAGTGAGGGGAAGTGTGTATGGTGGAGCCCGGACCACCACGCCTACCCTCCTCACCCATACGCGCGTGAGAATCAACCACAATGGACACAGCGCCACAAAAACTCTCTGACTTGCTGAAATAGCTGCGCTGAGCTGAACAGCAACAGCAAAAACATACAGGTGATGATAAACACCTATATGTTTCTGCTACTTCACAGCGTGGGACGCTGTGAAGTGGCAGGTGATGCCACGAAGTTTTCTCGAAGGAATTCGTCAAATTTCGTCCTGGATCCTTCTGATCCTGTGTCTGAATGATGAAACTTGCAGACACGACTTCAGGATAATGCGTAGAAAGACGGATGCTTCTTGTATGGGGTGATGAGTAGAAACAACATCTGCGTTCCTTCGTCTCTCCGGACAGCACAACTGCTGGGACCACCGCTAAGCCACCATTTATTGTCCATTGATTGATGGATATGTACAAGCCGGTATGAATGATAAGGCTTCGGAGAGTACGTTCCTTTATTTGGATTTTTAGTACACAGGCAGTGTGTAAGTGCCCTGGGGCGACCCCGAGGGCCATGCCCGCGAGGGAGAGAGGAGTGGAGCTGTTGACTCTAGGATGCCTGGTCGCCAAGTGAGAGGGAGGCAGGTCTGGGTATGCCTACCTAGAGGCCTGGCCTCTGGTGGAAACTTTGGAAACTAGCCATGTAGGCTTACTGTCTACAACTCACTCTTCCAGTATACCTGTTCCACTATACTCACTCTTCCACTGCACCTGCTCCACTACACACACACACACACAATACGCAAAAAAAA